AAAAAAAAAAAAAAAAACAAAAAACGGTTGCGGGGTGTGATGCCAAAGGCTGACCGCGGCGCGGAGAAGGCGGGTGTGGGAAGTGAGTCAGAGGCTTCAGTCGGTTTGAAGTTGGTTCCAATTCGGCCGCCCCAGAAACTTCACAAGACGCGAGACGCGAGATTGACAGCGAGGGCTCAGTTGCGCAAGAAGATTGGAAGTGAGTAGGTGTGCCCGAGAGCCGGGCCGCTCGCTCCGGCGGAGTCACGTGGCCACAGCCACTCGGACCCTGCCCTGCCCTGGGAGGGATTCTAGCCCGTTGGGCGTTTTCAGGTTCCCTCCACCCTGAACGGATGTTTCACACTGCCCGGTCCCTCCTTCAGGGCTCGCTCCAGGCAACCGCCCGGGAGTCGGAAAGGCTGCGTTCTAGTCCAGGCGCTGCCCCTTATGGGCGAGATCAGCCTCAGCAAGGAAACAGGGCTTTTTCCTTTCTCTTTGTCCATAAAAGGGAGATAATAAGACATCGCTGATGAGCCCTACAGGATTTTTCTGAGGATTGAATAAGTAAGATAATGGGAATAAATGCTCTTAATAGATTATAATTACTAGCTGAATAAAAGATGACATTAATAATAATTAATCAGTTAATATAACCGTATTACTCTCGGCAGGGTACGGGAGTGTATTTGCCAAAATATCTTTGGAGAGATATATATATATATATATATATAGAGAGAGAGAGAGAGAGAGAGAGACGCACTTTTACTGTTTGTAGGAAATTTTAAACACAGGGCACCCTACTTTTGCAGCACTTTTTACAATAACCTACTGTCTCAGCTGTTCTTCCCCCTTGAGCCACCCCAAAGCTGCGTTTTCTGAGCCTCTGCTACGTTTTTTCTTTCTCCAACATGCAGATAATGATTGACGGTGCCTGCCCAAGCAGGAGCAATGGTCTGTCTGTGTGTGGAGTGAATGTCACCCCCGTCTCAGGCACACGGACAGGCTGAATAGGCTTGGAAGAAGCAAGTCCACGTCATGAGGCCGTGCTAGTAATCCTTCACTATATTCTCGGCCTGGGATGCTTTTATTCCTGGTCGCTCGTTACTTATTCTTTGAAATATCTCCAGTGTCACCTGGGGTTCTGCACCCTGGGCCAGGCTGGGCGAGGCTGGTACCTATGGGCATTTTCTCCCTTCCCTTGCGTCTCAGAGGCTGTGTGGTGTGTTGCGAAAGGCAGTGGAGCCCGCTTGGCTTCTCTTTCTCTGTCAAATGGAGGTGTTGCTCCCTACCCTTCCTGCGTCCCCATGTAGATGTGAGGAGTCCGTGAGGTTACACCTGCACCACCAACCATCGGGAACTCCCAAGGGCTGTATGGGCGAAGGGATTATCATCATTATTTTGCTGCATATTTCTTTTTTGTATTTTTTGGAGAGGTTTTCACTATAGGGCACGTGCGATCGCCAGACAGACAGAGAGATAGAAAGCGAGAAATCACCCCCCAGAGGGGATGGCCATGCCGCAATCCCTTCTCCTCCATTCTCCTCTCAGGATCTTGGGCATGCACGCACATGCGCCTGGCGTTAGTTTAAGCCACCAGGTCCGGGACTCGAACCGCGGTCGACTACGTGGGAGTCCAGCGACATAGCCATTACGCTAACTGCTGGTCCCGCTGCATATTTCTTATTAGTGATTTACCCATATTTCACAATCGAAATTGCTTTGAAAGCTGTCTTTCTCCCCCACTATTAACACATTCTCCTACTGCTTCTCATCTCCAGCAATCCACTGATTAGTTAAGTATTTATAGTGATGGTAGGTTTTGGTGATAAACCCACTCGCTTGCGGAAAGTGAGTGTCCTACCTAAATCACATGGAGAGCTGCACCAAGCGGGCTCTCTGCATTTTTCTAGAACCACTAAAGGTATCTTTCAAACATGCACACATTCTCCTTTTGATACAGAATATGCGCAAATGTATGTGTGAGCAGAAAGCACGCACACCTACATTCACACAGCAGAGTCCCGAGAGAGCAGATTGACCGCAGAATCGGAACACGCGCTGCTCTGTCAGCATTTCCGCAACTTCCGAGTCCAGAAGTGACCACAACACGCAATTCACGTGGTTAAAGAAATCAGCGATCAATTTCTGCCCTGTTCCGAGTAATGACTATCAATACCTTGCCTCTCCTAGACAGTCAGTCAGCAGCTTCAGGTATTTTTAAATGAGTTTCTTTCTTTTTTTTTTTTAAATGCATCTGCAAAGTCAATTATTTTCAATCTCATCTGAAGCAATTAAAAAAACATCCTGACATTTAAGGTGATATTTTTTTCCCAAGTAAAATAATTATAAATAATCCTAATTATGAGCAAATCATTCAGTTACTTTCACTTGGGTTCAACCTTTAGGTTAATAAACCAATCCATTAAAATTCATCTTGCTCACAGGACCAATTTGTTAAAAAAAAAAATGGAGTGCCCTTTATCACAAGTATGATTGATATTTTCCTTAACAATCATCAGATCTGTCCTTTTCCGAAGAGAATGTGGTCAAGTGTGCATGTAGAAAAGTAGGGTTCTTTTATGCCCATCTTGGCACTGCTTCTCAGACAGGTTTGAAATGATGTCCATGATGATGAAGATGATAATGTACCACATTAAAACTCTCGTTTCCAATAGTAACTTAAAGAGATGCCCGAAAGTCTCGGAACAATTGCTTATAGCACGGAATCATGTAATTCCTTATGCTAGAAAACAAAGGAGTTTAGAGATTGTCCTCTGCCTCGGGTCTTTCATTCTCATCAAAGGTGTACAGAGATTTACAGTGTGGTTCACACGGCTGCCACCTGTTTTTGTAAATAAAGTTATATTAGAACAAAGGACGTACATCCATTCACACGTGGCCTATGGCTGTTTTCCTACAGACAGCATTGAATAGTTACAACAGAGGCCCTATGGCCTGCAAAGCCTAAAATACTTACGATCAGGCCCCTAACATGTGTGCCAACCCCTGGCCTAAGATAATGAAAAAGAAATTATCTTTGAGGGACCAGCAGTTAGCGTAATGGCTATGTTGCTCGACTCCCATGTAGTCGACTGCAGTTCAAGTCCCAGACCCTGTGGCTTAAACTGACGCCCGGCACATGTGCGTGCATGCCCAAGATCTAGAGAGGAGAATGGAGGAGAAGGGATTGTGGCGTGGCCATCCCCCCTGGGGGAGTGATTTCTTGCTTTCTGTCTCTCTGTCTCTCTCTGTCTTTCTGGCGAGCGCACGCACCCTATAGCGAAAACCTCTCCCCCCAAAAAAATAAATAAATCATCTTTGAATTTACAACAGCAACTAACATTTGAGTTGTGATTTAGAAAATGTAAAAGGTCTGATTATGTTACGTTGTAAGAAGTCTTATTAGCCTCACTTAACTGATGAAGAAATTACACGTCTTTTTCATGGTCATTTAGTCATTTCATGTTGAAAGTTTTGCCTCTGCAGAGGGAAGGTCGGTGTCCCAGGGAAGCCTCCAGAGAGCAGTGAAAGGAGCTGAGTCTAGATCGCAAGGGGCGGGGGGGGGCTCCTGTCTTGTCCGCTCGGGTGTGGTCATTGCCAAAAGGCAGCAGAAGAGGCAAAACTCTGGAAAGTCTGTTCCCCCTTTATCTGGCCTTGGCCTGGATGATTTGAATCGTGCCTGCTTCTACGTCCGCATTCTCATAATCAGAGTTATACTAATAAACTGGAAGGAAAGCAGCATGCTCTCAGGTTCAACAGAGTTAAGCTTGATTGCATCAACTGTCACTTATCTCTACTGAAGGAATGCGTCCATCCTGAAATTGGCACTGTGGCACAGAGATTCCCAAACGGCAAGTAACAGAAAAGTCTTTGTTTGGGGACTAGATTATCTTTTTAGAAGTTTGCTTTTTGAGACAGCAAATCCCCTTTTATTTCTGTTTCTGTTTTATCCATGCAGAAGACATGTACTAGCAAAGTAAGCCAAAGGCACTGGTATCGGGAGGAAGGAAGGCTTTGAGATCCACAGATACAAAATAGCAGTTGTTTGCGGAGGCCAAAGATTTTCTTAATCTTACGAGTTTTCATAAAGAGGGCGAGGGATGAAATGAGAGAGATAGGAATAAGAAACTCCTAGATGGGACCTTTCTGGAAGATTTCAAGCCACAGAGGAGGATTTAAACAATCGAACTAATTCAATTTTCCACCCACACAACTTTCATTTTGAGTACCTTCTATGCCAGGCACTTCTAAGAGTTGAAGAAAGATCATGTTGACTTAAGATTCAGATTTTCTCCAGGAAATGATTTAGTAGAGACATGAACACGTACACGTGTTTGTGTTTGTCATACACATTAGAAATAAGCAAAAGGATAGGGCCAGCTAATGGCGTAGAGGTTAAGGCAGCTGGATCCCACATGGTTGATAACGTGGTTCGAGTCCCAGACCAGGTGGACTGAAAAACATGCCAAGCATGTGTGTGTGCATGCCCAAAATCCCAAAGGGAGGAAGAAATCGAGAAGGGATTCTGGCGTGGCCATCCCCTCCAGGGGAAGCTTTCTCACTTTCTACCTCTCTCTAGTCAGTGCACATGTTCTCTGGCAAATGAAAGGAAGAAAGAAAAGGAAAAAAACAACCTACACGGTGGAAGTACAGATAGCATCTTGAGCATGCCCAAAGGAGAAATAAGTTTTTATTGGGCCATCATAGAAGATACTGTATTTTTTTTTGGACAGGATTTTTTTTTTCTTGCTATAGGGTGCGTGCACTATCAAGAAAGACAGACAGACAGAGAGACAGAAAGTGAGAAATCACCCCCCAGGGAGGATGGCCATGCTACAATCCCTTCTCCTCCATTCTCCTCTCGGGATCTTGGGCACACACGCACACGTGCCCAGTGTGAGTTTAAGCCACTGGGTCTGGGACTCAGCCGCAGTTGACTACATGGGAGTCCAGCGTTTTAGCCGTTATGCCATCTGCTGGTCCCAGATGATACTGTATTTTGAGAAACTTGAAGAATGTGTACATTTTAGACATTTGGAAATGGAAGGGGTGAATCCTAGAAGAAAACAGGGCACAAAGTCATAGAGCAAAATGTCACACAGTGTATGTTCAGAAAAATCATCGTTCCACACAGTTACATGGGAATGGAGGAAGGTAAGGTCGATGACATGGGTCAGAACCAGACTCTGGAGGGCCCTGGATTATAGCTTAAGAAGTTTT